TGGTTTTCCTGAACAAACAAACTAAAGACTGGAAAGATATGTACATTTTCCAGTGGATTGCTCTTTCAGGTAAGAAAAGATTCTTTTAACTGAGCGTGTTTAAAACATGAAATGGCGAAGTAACGAAAGGGCATTACAGCTAAGAATCAATGTGGGATAAGGGTGTCTGTAAGGGCTAACCCTTATAATTATTAAGAGCTAACCACTGTCGAGTCAATGATATTTAGGCTAACCTGAGCGCTATTTAGGCTAACGGCAGTTCCATTTCTCCATTTCGTGTTTTAAGGTGGCTTACTACAGTTTTGATGGATTACAACAGCCCAATTTCTAACTTTTTTCAAAACTGTTCCAAGATATTTTTCCTTTCTCTATTTACTGTTTGCTGAAGTCTTTTACCATTCTTTTCATGCAAGTTTGATCATTAGAATCTTTATCCATCCTTACCATCGATATTCATCCTAGGCCTCTCTTCCTAATGATTCCCTATCATTTGTCCAGAACTTTTCTACAAAGTTAATTCATTTTTGTTGAGTTTCCTGTTATCTAGCAATGATTTCTGCCTCCGTCTTCAATTTTGTCCATATTGCAATAAAACATCCTCGCCATCGTTCCTAATAGGGTCCTGTCATTTGTCAAGTTCTGTTCTGCACAATCAAAGTTTTTTTACGATCTAGGAATGTTTTTCACCATCTTGAGATCGTGCTGTTAAGAAAGCACTTGACAATTCTCTTTTCACCATACAACATCCTGAAGATCCTGAAAAGTTCAATGGCCACGATTTTTAGATTTAAATTGACACTGAAACATGCTGTTCTTCAAACAATATAAAACAAATTAAAAACCATTCGTTACCTGCGATCAGGCGTTCTTTATTGCGGACGAGAGCTGGCTCCAACCCCCTCCCAAAAAAAGAACGCCTGATCGCAGGTTGAAACCAAACGTAGCGTGGCCGAAACCTTTTTCTACGCTTGATACCAGTTCCGTTGCGTGATTTTACTTCGAATTCTGATTGGCCCTGAGATCATCTGCGTTTACCTATGATTGGTCAGATCATAAATTATTTTGGTATTCTTCCATGCTTATTATCCGCTTTAACTTCTGTCTGCTAGGAGTCTGGGGCGGAACCGCAGAGCAGGTCAGTCTATTTTCCTCCGGGAACACGCTCGGTATCCCGCATTTCCTCGTGAGCCCGCTGACCGTCCGAGGCGAACAACGCACGGCCACCAGCAACGTATTCTTGCTGCCGAGTCGGGAGTTATGGTCAGCGGATGAAATATTGGCCAAAACACCGCAGCGCTCATACACTGTCAATGACTTCGACGACTTCTTTCAAGATATGGGCTTCCCACTCGGGATAAAACTACGAAAGTTGGTGGAAAACATCTCGTATCCACTTACAGCGCATGCTCCCAATGTAACCGTGCACTGTTTGTATGGGACTGGGGTGGACACGGCTGCGAATTTCGAATTTGCCGAAGGCGAGTTCCCGGATACTGAACCACACGTTGTGTATGGTGATGGAGATGGTACGGTCAATAGACGCAGTCTGGAGGCGTGCAGTAAGTGGAAGCAACGGCAGCTGTATGACGTAACTCTGAAGCAATACCCATCGGTGAATCATAATGGCGTGTTAAGTGATGAAAATGTGCTGAATTATATCGAGACGCTGTTAATCTGATCGCGAATGTGAACCTGTTTACACTGCTGTCATTATACTCAGTCATATTTGGTTAGAAGTAGTGATCTTAGTTCCATTTCTGTTTGACATTAAACTTGTTTTCTCAAACAATGTTCTGCGTAATAATTTGTGGAGCTTTCCTCAGCTTTTATTTGCCTAGTTTCATCCACAGACTCAAACGATAGAGCACCTTTGCACAGCACATGAAAATACTTCTCGATAGCTTTCATTTGAAGGGCCACACACCAGGGTTTCATCTACAGACTTCAAAGTTAGAACCACCTNCATTTCCTCGTGAGCCCGCTGACCGTCCGAGGCGAACAACGCACGGCCACCAGCAACGTATTCTTGCTGCCGAGTCGCGAGTTATGGTCAGCGGATGAAATATTGGCTAAAACACCGCAACGGTCATACACTGTCAACGACTTCGACGACTTCTTTCAAGATATGGGCTTCCCACTCGGGATAAAACTACGAAAGTTGGTGGAAAACATCTCGTATCCACTAACAGCGCATGCTCCCAATGTAACCGTGCACTGTTTGTATGGGACTGGGGTGGACACGGCAGCGAATTTCGAATTTGCCGAAGGTGAATTCCCGGATACTGAACCACACGTTGTGTATGGTGATGGAGATGGTACAGTCAATAGACGCAGTCTGGAGGCCTGCAGTAAGTGGAAGCAGCGGCAGCTGTATGACGTCACTCTGAAGCAATACCCATCGGTGAATCACAATGGCGTGCTGAGCGATGAAAATGTGCTGAGTTATATCGAGACTCTGTTAATCTGATCGCGAATGTAAACCTGTTTGCATTGCTGTCATTTTACTCAGTCTTGTTTGGTTACAAGTATTGATCTTAGTACCATTTCTGTTTGACATTAAACTTGTTATCTCAAACAGTGTTCTGCGTAATAATTTGTGGAGCTTTCCTCAGCTTTAATTTGCCTAGTTTTATCCACAGACTCAAACGATAGAGCACCTTTGCACAGCACATGAAAATACTTCTCGATAGCTTTCATTTGAAGGGCTACACACCAGGGTTTCCTCTACAGACTTCAAAGTTAGAACCACCTTGTAAAACAGTACCACATGAAAGTACTGCTCAATAGCTTTCATTTGAATGGTCAATAATAAGGTTTCATCCACAGACCGGAGAGTTAGAACAATCTTGTACCGTCTAACAGACAGTATAGTGAATGTAATGCTCGATAAGTCTCCCAGCCCCCGCTCGTTTTTCATTTCATTCCCCGCTTTTTAATCGTTCTTATCAGTTGAGCGAGCCTGGAAAAGGCTAGAAAATCGGCTGATCGACATATTAACCTATTCATTCCCCAGTGACCGAAAGTATATATTAGAATGGCCATTTTCCGAGTTATAGGTTTTCGTCACCTCGAAGCTTTGGCGCTCTTCCTCACTGCTACCAAGGAGATGGCAACCTGATTCAATTTAGATTCAACTTAACAAGCCTACATCAAAGTTTGTGATACGTCCGGCTGCACTGCAGGCCACGCAAAGGGGGGACTGGAGACCTAACAAAAACGTTGACCCAATAATGGAGACGAAGAAAGTCAGTCCATCAGTCAGTCGGTCAGTTATTCTAAAAGTGCGTATTGCAGATATCATAAAGGGAATTTTGCAACTGTAATTTTCATTGCTTTGAAAGACCAGCTCGTCGTGTTTATGGTGTGAACTTGTTCTGCCATTACCTTAACAGTATAATTGCTACAGCCAAACAATTAGAACACAAAGATGTTTAATTCCCGCGTGTAAATATTATAAAAATGGAATGATTGTTCATTCAAAATCCACAAACATAAAAGAGAATAACTAAAATTATTCATTACTTCAGAAGTATTACAGAAGGTATAGAGGAAGTGATTGTCTCAGTTAAGCTCCCACTTTGCTGTAGGGTAGATGCCTTTGTGTTTTACAAAAATTCATTCTATGTTATGGGCTTCACAGTACTGATGGCAGGGAAATTATTCAATTAAAATCAGATCACTCTATTGCCTTGTTACGTTTGCCTGAATCAGAAATGATATGAGACAAAATTTCAGTTTTTTCCAGGAAATTCAAAAGAGAAGTACTAAGACTACAACCTCCTAGGAAACCTGTATTAATAATGGTAATAGGACTGAGTGGAGTCCAATTCGGTCTGTAATCATATGAGTGATTAACAAAATCGGACGATCTCGAAGCGGGAGTCCGATTTGTTAATCACGAGTATGATTACAGACTGAATTGGACGACGCGAAGCCCTGTTACCAATTAATCAAAACTATGACAAAATTC